CGCATGACCGGCCCTTCAAGAATCCATGTTGTGCTAGTGACAGTAATTGGTTTGTTGTCGCGTAGCCAACAACTTTGACAATCACCTTTTCCATAGCCCTGTATACTACTGACGTGATGCTTACAGGCCGGTAGTTTTCTATATTGGATGTTAGTCCACATTTATACCTGGGACATATGTATGACAGTTTCCGGTTCTCAGGGTAATCACCACCGGAGAGGGACGTGGTAAAAGAGCTTCAAAAGAATCAGCGGTATATCTTCTCCCCCTCTTTCTAACAAGACGGTTGGAATTCCATCAGGTCCCGCGCCGTATGAGGTTTGAAGTGATGCTACAGCTAGAGAAATGTTTTGTTTAGTGACGAGCACAGTACTTATCGAGTGGGCTGATGTCAACGGTGCACCAATGACTTTTATTTCATCCTCTTGTGCAAAGCAGCTAGCACACTGGTGACTGAACAGCTAGCCGATTCGTAGTGGGTCGTCGTAGAGGATGCCGTTGTCTATGATAAACTGCGGGTACTGTTTCTGGGGCTGCTTACCGGGTCTTCATCAGTCTCACTATTGCTTCTGTGTTACTAGTTTTACTACATTGGGTGCGTTCTTCTTTAACGGCTTCCAGTAATCTTTCTACCTTGAATGTGTCGTATGTGTCTTTGAGTGTGACAAGCGATGAAAAGTCATTCGACTCAGTACTCTCTGGCATGGTTTCGCATGCGGTTGCGTACTTTCACAGGTATATAGTCAATTCTGTTTTCCTCAATTTCTCTTTGACGCGGTGGAGCAATACGGTCTTGAGCTGTGCCTATATATTCATAGAATAGATCGCAGAGCTTTTTGGCTGAACTGTTGGCAAAGTAGGGGCTCCAATCAAGGCAGCGCAGAAACGATTGTAGTTCGTCCCATTTGGCATACTTGTAGCTTCTAGTTAGTACTGTTCCTGACTTTTGGGCCAGTTTTGTGTTGAAGTATCCATGTACAGTCTTATGATCGCTACCTGGAAATTGTGTACCCACTTGGAGTTTCGTGGGTGTGGTTCCGTTTGTGAAGACTAGGTCCAGGACACTATTGTACCTGGTAGGGTGTTACACATGTTGTTACCAACCCTCTGTTTCAAGAATGCTTATGAATTTATCAAAGCGCTCTGGATAGCTGATTGGTTGCCACTTTATATCTGGCATGTTAAAGTCACCACATATAATTTTCGCTGTGTGTGGTAGTGTTGCCACACCAGCGAACACGCTTGTTAGCCCGTCGTCGTATTCGACTGAGGAGGTAGGGGGCAGGTAAATGCATCCTATCAGAAGGAATGTGGGCGAGTAAGTTTGGCGATAATCCATACTCAGTCGTCAATCTCATTTAGCTTAGATGTTGGACACCACGTATCGGTGAGGTCGGATTTTATAGAGATAATGCATCCTCCTCCCTTGCCATGTAGTATGTCCCTCCTGAACAATGAATAGTTGTCGATGGAGATCTCTGCGCCGCAAATATCAGAGGTACACCATGTTTCTGTAACCATTATCACGGACCGATCACATAACAGAGATAGCAGCATAATCTCTTTTATTTTTTGTGTATAGAGCGGACGTTAATCAGGCAAAACGAGAGCGAGTTAAGAGTACAAAAGTGTTTGGATATATCTCGAAAAACGTCAGCACTTCTGTACATTCCTTGTGGGTCCTTTGCGTACTTCGTGCTAGCGATGTCATGACCTTTTGTACAGGGTGACGATTCGGTACTGTTTGATCCGGAAGGAGCGAAGTATTCACCACATTGTGATTGGTATAGGGACTGTTGGCAGGGTAGAGAGCAGATGTCCGACAGCATCCGAATCACCTGCATTACTGGCGGCGTCGCAGCCGTAGGCTGTCCGAAAAACCCTGTTCTTGAGAAGCAACGGGGATTGATAAGTCGTATGGCACACCTATCCGCTGGTTGCCGTGTGCATTATGGTCATGGCCAAATTCATATTCCCCAGGATTTTCTCTAGGGATCTATTGTAAAATTGTCCTCGTGTGGCGTATGACCCACGTTTTGCGGCGTATGGGTGAGGCGAAGAGCATAGTCTGTGACTACCATTCGGCTCCTATCCAATAACTGTGACCATCGAGGGGTATGGCTGTGGTGTGTGTCTGCTAGTGACCGCTGAAGTGTTTAGAAGCGTGGACCGTCTGGAGAGTAGTTATTTGACTTGGTCATAGGATGACCTGAGAAATAACTTTTGGCATTTACCTTAGTGTGGCTTTGCGAGGGTGCAGTGGTCTTTCGGCTATTCGCGTTACTTTTTCCTCCATTGGCTTGGCTGCTTAATTGCCTTTTCGGCAATTTATTTAACCTGGGCCGGTGCATAGTGGGGTGTGTATAAAAGCGCCCAGTGCTGTGTGTACTCTTCGTCATCTGCCCATTTGATGCATACAAGTTATGCACTGGCTGAAGTGGGGTAGGTTAGACTGTTGACACGCTAGGCTTTGGGACGGTCCTATGGTAACAGGGTTCTTGTGGCTGGTGCTGGGTATGTTTATAGGCTGAGTGACACCTGGTAACGGCATAGTAATGCCTTCATTATTTTGTTGGGTACGTAGCGTAGTACTTGGTTTGGGGGCGACCTGTGTGACGGGGTGAGATGGGGACTGGCTTTCCACTTCTGTAGGCAGTGAGATCATTTAGGAGATCATGTGCCTGTGTTCGAGTGTAATTCATCGATTTGTCCCGGCCTACCGTCGTGTCATCGGCTCTACCACGTCTGTGTGTGAGCGGGCTAATTTGTGGGCTTTGGTGTCCCTCATTCCATTGTGTTGGTACAGTAACCAGTTCGCTGATAGATTGTGTTGCTGTTTTGGGTATCATAGCTTGACTGAAATTTGCAGCTTTTGGTATTTTTGTGCGACTACGTCTTTGACAAGGTGTTAAGTCTTGTGAACGTTTAACAATTTTATCTGGTGTGGATACGCTAATAAGTTACTGGGATGATAAGAAGTGTCTGAAGTGGTAAGAGCCACTAAATTTGAACACCAAGGGGCAGGTATATTTCCCCAACTTCTTGCGGAGACGGGTAACTTGGCATTCTGCAGAAGACATGCCACAAGCCTGCAGACATAAGGCTTTTACTTGTTTGATCGGTTCGTGGTCGGGTATGTTGTATACTAATACATTATATGAGGACATAATCTTTTTATTAACCTCCGTGGCAATGGAATCTAAGACACTTTCTGTTTTCAATGAGGTTTCAGTACTGGCTTCTAGACTGAGAGCATCTGGGACCAAAGCCGATGAAAAGCCAAAGCCAGAGGACGCATACCCAAGAGTCACCATTTAGAAAGATATCGTGAGCTGATATCGCTCCAAAATCACCATGAGCCTCACGGGTGGTCTCGATACTGGTTTCTGGATGAGAACGTGGGTTTCTGTAGGAGAACCCAGTGTGAACAACACTGGACCGGAAGCTGCAACCAGCCATTCACACTGTCCAGATCCACTAGACAAGCGAAAGCCCCAACCCTCAAGGCTGGTATTGTGTCTGAGCCTTTCCAAACTCTTTGATCTTGTTAGCCGACTGATTGATAAATTAAAGTTATTCAGAGTTAAACTGTTACTCTCGACTGGTTTTTTCACATCTGCATGGCTGTTAATTTGAATTTCAAGTAAATTTTCCTCTGTTCGAATTGGCGTAATATCGAAGTGAAGCTTACTCGAGTGCAGCACCAAGGCCTTTTCTTTTTCTAGCATACATAAATCAGCTTTCTCAACAAACTTCTTCTGAAATCCGTCTTTTCGCGTCATCCACTGAGCTGCTGAGCTACGGTAGCCTCTTACAAGGAGGCCCGTATACCACAGTTTTGGGGGATATGGCCGCGCTTCTCTGTCGTCGACTGGACGTAATCGATCTACCACAATTCATTAGTAATACCGGATCTAAAAATAATATCGGTAAAATCGCGGCATCCGTATAGAGGCGCACGTGGCAGTACTGGCGGATCACCTTGGCTCAGCCGACGACCAAGAGGTATAAGCTAAATCATCAAAGCTTCATTCAAACAGTCTTTTGCAGTCGTGGCAGTATGGTTTTCCGGCCTGGTACTCTTACTCAGCGGAACTTCATGCCACAAGAAATAGACTTGTAGCAGCCCATCATGGTAACCTGTCCTTAGACACCTTGTTCACAGAATTCAGTGGCCTATTAGGCAAGACATGCAACGCTGAAAAGCTGGTGAATGGAGATATCAATGCTTCTTGCTATTCACAACGAAGTAAAACCGCCCCTGCGTTACGCCACTACCAAAGTGCTAAAGGTGTTGAATACTTCCATTCTTCAGAGGCGAGACTCACGCTGTATGCGCAACTGTCTGATATTCCCTGGGACTTTGCCATTTTAAAGGACATTTTTTGCTACTCATAATCCTCAGTTCTCTCGGCATGCAGATAAATCTTGATACTCAGATTGCCGCATGTTTTCTCCTTTAAAGCAGTTCATGAAAAGACCTAAAACAGCAATCAAGTCCGTCTGAAAGACTTTATTTCCCGTTTCATGGAACCCACTCACTACCCTACAAGATTTCTTCAGCAAAAATGTAATGCTGGTGAAAAGAATGGCGTGCTAACCGCTCACCAGACTGCACATGTGACTATACTTATATGTCCGGTGCCCAAATTCAGCGTCACTTACGGACGCATCATGGTGTGAGTTCCTCTCCGAACCACTACTCGAAGACCTGGGTACTGTCTCAACGTACAAGCATGGAGTTGAAAAAAACATCCTTTCAAAGCTTGTGTGAAGTTTGCACTCCGTTAAGTGAAAATATGCTAATTTAGACGGGTGTCTGACAACCTTTAGTGTAATACCTTTCTGACCTTTGCTTCAGTTGCGTGTACCATGTTGAATGCTTGAATTGTTGAAAAAGCACTGTTTGAATCTGGAGTTACTCGCGCGCTACCCTGGCTTGCACGTTAGGCAATGACTGAACAGTTGGTATTCCGAGCTACATTGTCTGGGCACAGAGGATGGGTTACGCAAATCGCTACAACACCTTCACAACCAGATTTGCTTGTATCCGCTTCTCGAGGTAATTGTTTGTCAATTGAGAGTTCATTTTCCAGACAAATCACTAATTGTTTGGGACTACGACGAAGTGATGATCAGTATGGTATGCCTGTACGGTCATTGCATGGACACAATCATTTTGTAAGCGACGTGGTTATGTCATCGGATGGTCTGTACGCTTTGGCAGGCTCCTGGGATCGTACGCTCCGATTGTATGATTTGGAGACTGGCAAAACAACTCGTCGTTTTTGTGGTCATGAGGGAGATGTTTTGAGTGTTGCTTTCAGTGCTGACAACAGGCAAATCGTCAGTGGATCCCGGGATAAAACAGCAAGGTTGTGGAATACATTAGGCCATTGCAAATACGTCTTCACCGACGGGGGTCATACTGATTGGGTCTCGTGTGTCAGATTCTCTCCAAACACTGATAACCCAATTGTGGTAACATGTGGCTGGGATAAGCAAGTGAAGGTAGGTTATTCTTGTTGCTTTACAAATGCTATAGGTTTGGGGATTGAGTAACTGCAGTCTGCGTACAACGCACTATGGCCATACAGGATACCTAAACACAGTCACAGTTTCACCAGATGGGTCGCTCTGTGGCAGTGGAGGAAAAGATGGACAAGCAATGCTGTGGGATTTAACATCAAACAAGTTCCTATACACATTGGCCAGCGGTGGAACTATAAATGCACTATGCTTCTCTCCGAATCGGTATTGGCTCTGCGCTGCAGTTGGACCAAGCATCAAAATATGGGATTTGGAAAACAAAGTACTGGCCGATGATTTGCGTCCTGAATTGATATCTGCCAATGCATCTGGAAAGCAGCTGACACCGGACTGCACAAGTCTAGCATGGTCTGCTGATGGCCAAACTTTGTTTGCTGGATTCACAGACAACCTAATTCGCGTGTGGCAGATGACTTTGTACGGTAACTAAGTGAAATAAATCAGTTGGAGTACAGCTCTGTTTTTGTTCTGCGAGAACTACTTCAGTTGTATTTATTGTATTCCACAGCCATTTGTCTGTGATAATCAAGTAATAGCAACCGTTGTTACATTTTGGATCGTAGACCGCTTCATTCTGTATCGGTAGGTCTGATGATGTGCTTCGATATGTCTGCAACTACATATCTACTGGGCTTGTGGACAATGAAGATTTCAGCGTTGTTTCGTCATGACTGGTGTTTTCTGGACGTGAGTTTGGTGTGAGCATGTGTCGTCTTCACCTACCCTCATAGTATCCTGCCTACAGGTGCAAGCAATACCATGTTATCAAGCGTCATCTGAACACATGCACCATGCTGTAGATATAATTCCTTGTGCTCGTGGAAGGAACTCGGTAATGCATCTGATTTACTAGACCCTTGTTTATAATTCTCGACATATGTAGCTACAGCCACCTCCGCGTGGATACTGGTACAGAAAATCGTGACGCCCAAGCATTTTTGTAGTCAACTTTCCAGACAAGTGTGTTTCTGTCGTTCTTCGCTGTCACGACTGGATTCAATGCATATCATCTTGGAAACGGTGAATATTGCGTCTGAAGAGTTAACGGTAGGACACTGCTCATGAAGGTCATTGTTTAAAAGTAGGTGAGAACGTGGGCTAGTGGCGTCAGTCAGCTTGAGGTAGGTGGATCAGTTTCTTTGTACCTGTTATCCTAGCAAAAGAAGTATATCTCAACCCCCTTCCCATCGACTAGCAGATGTCACCTGAAACGATGTTAAGTAGCAGTTTGTCACCTGAAGTTTCTCAGGATAGAGTGAGGAATTTGCAGAGGAGATTGACGAAGATAATGTATAAGAATCAGATCTAATACCGTTGGTCTGGTGTTCACTGATTATCCCACTCAATAATATAGGGAAATTTGGTGACAGCTGCAGAGAGGTTGACTTGATTGATAGTGTCTAGGGTCCACAATTATCCGACACCTAACTGGAATTCGAGCGAAGTATGTAAATTTCAGACCTGGTCAAATGTGCTTCGATCATATTTCCACTCTACGGCAGGTTCCGGAATAGACTGATCAAAACTCCCTACCCGAACTAGTGCAGCCGTTTCATGGCTTAGATTTGTCGTTGCAATGGACGACAACTAGTGTCCGTCAGCGATGTCCACTGTCGCCCTTCCTATTCAAGTTCGTCATAGATGTACTTAAGGACGTAGTCTTAGGTATGTTTGACTTCACGGAGATTGATCTACTCCCTGGAAACCAACTGGTTGATATAGAGTATACAGACGACATTTTCCTGCATAGTGAAGACGATGCCAAAATGTAGGGTTTTTTGGATGCTTTGAGCGGAAATCTGAGAATGTTTGTATTGCGTTTTGCACCTTTCAAATGGAAGATGATGCTCCAGAACTGGACTGCAATCACTTCCAGTTTAAAGTTAGGAAGTTAAGTGCTGGGGTATGTCAGTCACTTCACTTGGGGAGTCGCAGCAGCCTGAACTGGATGGTCGTCCCACCAGTCGATTGAGTCTCCTGACTGTTGGTTTGAGTCGTGTGGGGGCGGTGTAGACTGTTCGAAGCGAAAGAAATGAGTGGCTGAGGACTCAGTGATATGACTGGAAATCGGTCAAAATCGCACAATGTATTCACTTCTTGACGCCTTCTAAAGCTTGAATATTTGCACTATCCTTGATCTATATATTGTTCGTTCTCTCAAACAGCTGTGTACTTTGATCTCACCCTTTTTCTATCCACTTGTTCTTTGTATACTACTGTGAAGCGTGGCAACTTGAGCCGATGCACTTGTGTGCGAGGTTCCCCGCTGATTATGTCAGATGCCGCAGGGTGTAAGGGAGAGAGAACAGACTAGTCCGATATAGTGATCTCTCCAGAAGTACAACGATTGTGATATACTTTTGTTAGCAGTGGGCTGTTTCTTTTCACCTAAACTTAATTTCTGCCACACTGGGACGCAGAGTATAGGTTGTCATTCTCAAATGCGATAACGTTAATGCTTTACATGGCGTCCTCCTTTTGGTCAAGGGTGATCATGTTTCACGTTTGAAGCCGACGAGTTGGAATATGACAGTTTCCTCCTAGGTCGAATGTGGCACATACACGTCAAATATAAGGTTCTGTGGGGTCAGTAGGTACCGGACTACTGGTAAGAACTTATTTATTGAGAACACTGATCATGTGTTACGAACCACTTCCCAGGTGATGAGGCCATGAAGATCTTAATGGTATCTAATACTGGTTTTTTCGTATGGTTTACCAATGACTGGCGTTGATAGCTTACTTTTTTTCTCTCTCTAAGATTGAATATCCCCAAAGCCATCACCATCAAATCACAGTCGAATCAACTTAACCTGTATCTCTACAACTGCGTGTTTATAGACTAGAACTTTTTATCCGAGTAAGTGGCATCCGTTCTTTCGGTTTACGTATACGCCGCCTATTTTTAGCTAGCATAAATTCTAGACAAACTGTTTGACGTGGCGTCCACCGAGCTCAACTCAGCAATGGACACAGATAGACCACATTGCTACTAGTCGTCGGTGGAAGACTGCTTCTCCTTCTGGAGTACGTATTTGGACAGCGATCACACGTTGGTCCTAGCGTGCATATGCCTGCGTCTCAAAGAACGTAAGAAAAAATTGGCAAAAAAACCACTACAAGTGGTGCTGGACAACGAAAACACCAAAGCCGTGTTTAGTGAAAAGTTGGCTAGGCAGTTATCGGAACAAAACTGTCACTCATCCAAAAAAAGCTTGGTACCATCTTCAGTCTGCCGTAAAAGCAGCGTTGAAGACCGTAGCCGACTCCGAAAGAGTTGCTAAAAAGAGCCAGTGGATATCAGCAGCTTCTTTCGAACTAATGGATGCATGTGAACGCATCCCTGCAGGCTCTGAGCACAATGAAGAGCGAGCGCAACTAAAAAGTAGATTGAGAAGAAGTCTATGCAACGACTGCGAACAGTCGTGGGCAGCGAAGGCTAAAGAGATGGAAAAGGCAGCGGCGATTGGTAATAGTGAACAGTTATTTAGACTTATTAAAGGGACTGGGGGAAAAGGTCAACAACAGTTAGTGAGGATAGCACAGAAGGACGGATCTGCGACTCACTTGCAGGGGAGACGACTGGAACAATGGACAGAACACTTCGAGGAGCAGTTTAACTGGCCCCCAGCCACCATTCCGTTGCCCACTATCCAGTCGGATCCTAAATGGAACATTGAGATAGACCTCCAACACTAGGAGAAGTCGAGAAAGCAGTAGGTAACTGCTGAGGTATACAAGGATGGTGGTAAGGTGTTCTTAGGTTAACGGAAGTGTTAACCAATATATGGGAATCAAAAACGATCCTCTCTGACTGGTCTAAATCACTGATTATCCCCGTCTTCAAGAAAGGCTAGAAGTCCTCTTGTGATAACCACAGAGGAATCAGCCTGACGAACACGGTATCTAAAATTCTAGGTTCTCTAGTTCTTCGACGCCGAAATAGAGCTCGGGAACAGCAAGCCCGAGAAAACCAGGCAGACTTCATACCCGGCTGTGGATGTACCGACCAAATATTCACACTGCGCCAGGTTCTGGAACACAAACACACTTAGCGACGCCTGACAATAGCTGTAATTCTCGCCCTGAAGGCGGCATTTGACTCCGTTGATCGAGAAGTCGTATGGCAATATCTCTCACTGAAAGGCGTGCTGAGTAAGTACATCACCTTACTGAAGGCTCTCTACTCGAACACTTGTGAGCGTGTTAGAGCCTATGGTGATAAGTTCGGGAAGCTGTGTTTGTCGAGTGATGTCCGTCAAGGGTGCCCACTCTCTCCATTCTTATTCAATTTCATCATAAATATTCTTATGTAGGTCTCCCTCTCATCACCTGACTACACAGAGGTTGACCTAATCACAGGAGAATTTTCGTTAGACCTAGAATACGCAGATGACATAGTCCTGTTGGATGAAGTTGCTGACAACATGCAGTCTTCTGGACACCGAGTAGCAATTTGAGAATGTTTAGGAGGCGTTTCTCACCACCCACTCCTGGATTGGTCTTCAACGGTGCCACGGCTAACAAAAGGGAGTGAAGTAGTTGAGTGTATTGACCACTTTGCTTACCTGAAAAGTAGAATCAGCCCTGGTGGATCAGCGGCGGATGAAATCTCTGCACGAATACAAAAGGCTCGGGGGCTTTTAGCAACTTACGCCACCTGTGATATCCGACTGTCTATTAAGGGTCTCGTATACTGCATAGCAGTCCGGTCTGTTCTACTGTATGGCTGTGAACATGGCCATTAAAGGTGGGAGACATGAAGAGGCTCCAAGTGTTCGATCACCGTTGCCTTCGTAGTATAGGCCGTATTCCATGGTGTCACCACGTAAGTAACGCAGACGTTGGGAGTAGAGGTAAACCAGTTGAGGAGGTTGTGAACCTTCATCGACTGAGATGCTTGGGATACGTACTACGTATGCCTAGTTGTTGGTTGCCTCGTCACACAATGTTGGCCGAAGTCGGTGCAGGTTGGAAAAAGGCCCGAGGTAGCCAGACTAAAACATGCTACTAATGTATAAAGTCTTTGACTGTTAGTTTGAGCCATGTGGGGTCCGCGAGGCAGGAGGAACCAGTGGTTGGAGACTCTAGGGGATATGGCTGAGAACCGATGTCAGTGTCGCAGATGTACACACACATTATCCTCATCTTATTCCGATTCTCACCATTTAGTCATTCTTCCTTCTCGTACTTTATATTTCTTTTGACTGAGTTTTCTTATCTTCATCTTGCACCTCACTACATTTCTACTTGATGTACTGATATGAGCTGTGGCAACTTGGACCATTACGCAGTAATGCCTGGTCCTATGTTGATGTTGTTTACGCATACCAGGAGGGACGAATTTTAACACATCCTGCCTGGACGGATTAACACCTACTATCCTTATTGCTGAAGACCTAAGGAGATTTCGGCATCAGGTATGGGATGGAGTTTCGTTTATCGAAACCACTAACCTGAATTTAGTTATGATACTATTGTGTTGTTGGACGATTAATACGTATCGCCAAGGCTTTGAAATATGCTTATGAAGTAACTACCGTAAACGCTATATTCTAAGATTCAACTCATTAATGCATGATGCCATTTGGAGATCAAGACTTGTAATGACTACTGGATCCCTGCATCCAAGGTCACCTGACGTAAGCACTCTGTGTCCACACGATCGTGTAATTTGACAGTCAGTATAGGTGAAGAGCTTCACTCACAAAGTGAGCACACAATATTCATTCCGCAGATCTTGTGGGGCCCTCGGAAACCATCAAGGTGGAGTGAGATGTTGAAGTATACCTAACAGAAAGTATGGCATACCTGTGTGCAGTCCTAGAAAACTACTGACTGTTGCTAACCGAGGAAATATACGCATTTCCGGTACATGCAGTTGATACCTCATGCTACACAGATTGCCGACGCGTAAACCACAACGTTAAGACATGAACTGTGATCACATGTAGATCCGTCATATCGCGCAATCTTGAGTACAACGTTTTGTAAGTTGGTTGCTGTGGGATAGATGGAGATACCAACTAACCTTGCCGTATAGGATGGAATGAAATCGTCCCTGCGTTATGACACTATTGGTGTGTTAAAGGTACTGAATACCTCCGTTTTTCAGCGACAAACTGATTTCCTATGCGCGAATGTCTGATGCTTCCCTAGCATTTTACCATTTTGAAGGATATTCTTTGTGAATACATGCAAATCCATCGTGTCGTGCACAGTTGCGTGATGTTTTGCACGTTAGTTGTGGTGTTAGGGACAATTATTTATCAGGATGCTTTAGTTACACTTAATGGAGATGTCACCATTTACGAATACTGCTTAACATTGCTCGCATACGTGAGTTGAGGAAAGATTTTCAAAAGTTACACATTCATGATAATAGCGCATTGAATGAGGCTATGTATAGTTGTACCTACGCTGTTGAAAAAGAGTGAACTACAAACTTTTATAACCACCGTCCGACAAACCTATTTAACTCCTAATTTTATTAGTAGATATACTGTACATCAACAAAAGAGACCAGTTTCATTTCACAAGAGTGTACAGAAAGTGAATTTATTGACGAAATGGGAAAATATTCTTAAGTAAGAATAGATTTCGTGTCCACTTCGACAAGACTCTTCATGCCTTCAACTGCAGCAGACCATTCATTCAGTCGTGTACGCATGCTTGCAATCTAATAAACAAAGGCGAAAAAAGCGATAAAAAAACTGCAATAACTGTGTGAAGAACAAATTGCTTCATTTTATGTGAATGAAAAGAAATTTATACATGTCTAAAGCCTTTATGAAATCAACGAATCGTATACTAGCTCATGAAGTAAACCTGTTATATGAGAACTGAAGCTACTAAGCAGGTGTCTCAACCTAGATAAGTTGGGACTGGAATAAGAAGCGTTACATTCTAGTTGGAAGCAGAATATTCTAGTTTCTGAACCTTATCGGTGTTTCGAATACATAGTGGGCCGTGAACTTAAATTCCTCGTTACCTTTTCGGCTAGGGTTCTGTGCATTTTCATGTATCCTCATACAATAGAAGTGGCTCATAGCCTCGTGCAAAACACGTACCGGGCTGAATTACATTATCGCATCACCAGAAAAAACGGAAAATCAACATCAGACCTCACATACAAGTGCATCGGCTCAAGTTGCCACGCTTCACAGTAGTATACAAAGAACAAGTGGATAGAAAAAGGGTGAGATCAAAGTACACAGCTGTTTGAGAGAACGAACAATATGTAGATCAAGGATAGTGCAAATATTCAAGCTTTAGAAGGCGTCAAGAAGTGAATACATTGTGCGATTGTGACCGATTTTCAGCCACCACAAAAATCCCCCAACCACTGAATCCTATCGTTTCAAGGACCCCAGCCAGGCATTATACATCTCGCAACACGGCTCAGACCATCAGTCAGGGACTTCATCGACTCCATGACTTAGTCTGACCACCCTAAACCCTCTTCTAACCTAATCCAGCTTTCCTTAGCATGGCACGTCGAGAAACGAGGTGGTTCGGGACGTGCATTACACGTCCAAGCCACCCCAGTCGACTAAGGTTCGCAACCTCAGTTAGCTTGCCTGTCTTGTTTAGTACTCTTCGCCTTACCTCAACACCGTTAACAGAGTGATTACCAAATGCTGCGAAGACACCTATGGTCAAAAACCTATAGTCACTTCATAACTTCTACTTTCGTCGTATGTTTCACAACCGTACAAAAGGACAGAACGGACTGTAGGGCAGTATAGTTATCCTTTGATAGATGGCTGATAAGTGCCGAACGGGCCTTCTGTATTTGAGCTGAAATGTCGTTATACAATGAAAACTGACGACAAGATCTACTTCATCTGATTACTTTTAGTAGTATATTACATATATAGTCAAAGTTTTTATACACTATATTGACTGCGCGATTCAGTATAAAAAAGTTTTCAGGTGCATAACTGTACTGTTATCTCAAAGATCATCTCCCAAGGAGTCTTTAATGAAACGCACAATATGAGGAAGCAATGCCCGTTGAATTTTAATTTTTATTATAGATAATCTGAATATATTTAATTAATACGTAAACCAAGAGCACCGGAACTACATTTCACACAACTTAAAAGTTTGAGTGACCCAAGTTATTAAGGCGACTGAGAGTCCTCCGGTTGTTTATATGCTAGGGTTTCTTCCGAGACATACTTATCGGAACAAAGTAGACTAATAATCTACTAAGCAGATTATTAATGAAGTTTAGTACACATCAATAAGTATTTTAGGTTAAGTTATTCACAATATCTTACAGTATCTTTAAATAGACAATGTTTACAGTTGACCCATCATAATTTATTCCACTTGCAAAGTAAACACCAGCCTTCGATGTATATATGAACATCTTGTGGACTCAAGTGAAAAACTCAGTCTACACAACCCAGCACATATTCTTCCTCAGTAAAAATTTTCACTTCAGTAAGAGAAATCGATTTATGTGACTGATGTTGATTCCTCTACCTCTCACGGTTGAATTTGCTGAAAACAAGTAGTCCTGGTCGCTAGTAGTTTTTTGGGGCAGGTATTATGGTGCATGCTATATAACCTGTCGAATAAAACTTCCTTAGGTTTGGTCTGAAAAACATGATAGAAACTGAAGATAAACAGTTCTTAAACAACATTGGTATGAATGATCACCTTTGAGAATTCACTGATTCAAAGTTGCACAATTAGTTGTGCACAAAAAACCACCGACTCTCTTCCAAATAGGACAATTCAATTAATGGTATGTAGGAATTAATTGACTTCAAGGTAGTTTGTATCAGTTGTAGGACTATTGGAAAGTGGAGAACAGTGGCCAGCTGTTTCTTCGTAGTTTAGGACTCAGCAGTAGCCACTCACCAAGGAGTCGAACCCAAAGACAGTCAGATCTCGCGGTACGTTAATCATTCAGCTATCAAGTCGAGTATGGGGACAAAAGCTCACCAGTGACATTGAATGATGGTTACTCTATGTAGAAAATCGACAGGAGTTCTAAAACATAGGCCACTGGATTCTAATCCAGTGACGAAATAGTAATGCGCTCGCCGCGAAACCTGACGGTCCTAGGCTGTCCCTCGCGCAGTCATGGGAGTTACATACTACACCAAAATAGCTATCTAATTTCCTCCAAATTTTCAGTGGTTCTGGCATCAGTTTGGGATGAATCCTATCTTGCGAATAATGGATAGTTTTTTTGAATCTTTAAGTTAGGCGATATATCTGTGCCGAAATTACAAAGGCAAACATGTAGGGTACATTATAAAGCTTTACTACCTTTACATGCTTCATTGGCAATACCCCAGTCATAAGTGATCATCTGTCTAGTATCAAAAGATTTCATGCTTTCTGCACTCGAAAACAGACAACTAAGTGTTTTGTTAATCTTAATAACAAGACGAAATCAGTTAACAACTTGACGATTGTTTTTTCTTTTACAACGAACAATTAATAAGTAGTACCTTCATTCGATGACTGGTGGTAAAATTAACTTTTAAGTGAATGTTTATTCATTATATTAAATAGTTTCAAGATAACTGAAACACTAGACTAATTATATTCGTCGGAGATTATACAGACAAAAAGAAAAAAATAGTGAGTGGAAATAAGTTACGAACTTGAATTTAACGATGATGAAATTACTATTATTGCAATTTCAATTGTAAATTTTCTGAACGATAACAACAATAAAAACAGCTTACCTGTTCTCTGTCTAAAACACGCGGTTGTAACCATGTCAAAGAGACACATTGATTCACCTCATCAATCCGTCCTTTTATTAATTTCAGTGAAAGTGCTTTCATCAAGAAGTGTTCAACCTTAGAAAATAATACATACACAAAATAATGCAAAGGTAGGTAAGAACATATGATGGATAGAAAAGAATAAGAACCAAATTAATAAGTGAGATACATGGAGAAAACTTCACAAAACGGTTAACTAAGAGACACGAAAATTTCCATTGGTGACAAAAGTGTACTGTATATTCTCAAAATGTTTTCATATTACCATATTTCTTAAGTTTCTCCCACATAAGTCATATTCGCCACCTTCACTGGGGAGCAGTGTCTCCATGTAAGTGAAAGAACGGACGATAACATCCAGTTTGCATCACCACAGTACTGGATATTGAAGATCCATATTAGAGTTGGAAAACTGACTCAACATTAATGGTGCACACAAGCTCCAAGATACAGAACATGCTTTGGTAACCGGTAAACATAGAAATGAAGCACCTGAGGTTGCTCAGCTGCTTTGTGAATCTCAGTTCAATTCAAAACTCTAGGAGGGGTGTTTTTAGACAACTATGTACTTGGTCTTCCAGGTAGTATCTTAGTCATTAGTGTTAGCTTTTGGAAGTCAATTGGCAGGAAGATCTTCCTGATCTAGATTTCACACTTATTTGCATTCATCAGCGAGGCGTATCTGCAGTCATGAGGAAACTAGTGTTTCCTTGATGACCCGAACCTGCATCACTCAGTTTTGGTGTCAAGGACTTCACAACTGAATAATTCAAACTACGACTGGCCTCCTATGAGACTAAATCAAGTGCGCGAATAGGTCACCACTGGATAGCTGATATTCTTTGGTATTCAGTGCTGATCGAAGTCTGTCAACCAAATTTGCAATCTGACCAATAAGCTAAGGCATGACACTGTATTTGGGCGTTAAGTGTTATCTGGTAATAAATAATCGTTCATATTTTTACCGGCTTCAATCAGTCGAGTAGATTTTGGAAATGTTATGCCATTTTAAACCAAGGCTACACCTGCTACAAGTAGCGAACGAGGGAATGGACGAACACATACCGTTTTGATGGTGATCAACAACAACATCTAGTTACTAATTTCAGTGGTCATGTGTAATTTAATAAGGAAGTGCAAATCTCGAATTGAAATTCGGGTTTTTTGCACTATGTCCCACTCAAGACAGGTAGCAGATATAAATTAATAACCGATGATCAAAGACATAGTCAACGTACAACATCGTAAACAGGTGCGTCGACTCAAACTGCCATACTTTACAGCGGTATGCAAAGAAAATGTGGATAGAAAAAGACTGATATCAGGTGTATGCGAAGATAAACAATTTGACGACAAGGGTTAGTGAAAATATTCAAGCTTTAGAAGACGTCAAAGAGTGAACACACCTGCTTTATTGTGACGGATTTTCAGCCATACCACCAAGAGTTCTCAACCACTGAGTCATATGGTCTCATAAACCTCGGCCAAGTAGCGTACACGGCTCACACCAATAGTCAGAGGTTTCATGAGCTGGTACCACGTCTTGATCCTGTTACGCTGAGCCTTCTTCCAACTTAATTCAACTTCTACTAGCATTGCACGTCGAGCAAGGCAGTGGGCTAGAAATGTGCAACACACTCCCAAGCTACCCCAGCCGCTGGAAGTTCATAACTTCGTCAGCCACCATACCTTGCTTGACTGAGACTCTTCGCCTAACCTTTACACTACTGACATGGCGATTCCACCTTATATGAACAATGTTACGAAAACAACTATGGTCAAAAACCTGCAATTACTTCAGATCTTTTGCTTCTGTCGGTCATGTCTCACAGCTGTATAACAAGACAGAACGGACTGCAGCGCAGTATGCTTATCCTTTGATAGATGCTCGGATATCTTGCCAGCTGGCACCACAGAAGACGCAAGTAGTCGAATGCCGAACGAGCCTTCTATATCACAGCTGAGATTTCGTCAGCAACCAGTCTGCTTAGGCTGATGCAACTCCCCAAGTAAGTGAAGTGGTAGACACATTCCACTACTTCACTCTCTATCCTTAAACTGCGGGTCAGTGCAGATTATTCCTATAGCACCATCTTATACCTCACAGGTACCAGCGAAACGCATGCCGGTCAGACATACTCAGATTTCTGCTCAACATCATCATCATCATAATCAACATAGGACCAGGCATTACTGCGTAACGGTCCGAGTTGCCACACCTCATATCAGCACATCAAGTAAAAAGGTAGTGAGGTGAAGGATGAAGATAAGTGAATGCAGTCAAAAGAAATATAAAGTACGAGAAGAAAGGAAAGAGGAGTGACAAAATAGTGAGATTCGGTATAGCGTTGTTAAGATGAGGATAATGTGTGTATACATCTGCGCCACTGACTTCGGTTCTGAGCCATATCACCTAGGGTCTCCAACCACTGGTTCCTCTTGTCCCGTGGACCCCAACCACCTAGTCTGCATCGTCCTACATGGCCTAAACCAACAGTCAGAGACTTCATACATTGGTGCCATGTTTTAGTCTGGCCACCTCGGGCCTTTTTCCAGCCTGAACCCACCTCAGCCAACATTGTGTGACGAGGCAATCGGTGACTAGGCATACGTAGTACGTGTCCCAACCATCTCAGTCGATGAAGGTTCACAACCTCGTCAACTGACTTACCTCTTCTCCCCAAAACTCTACACCTAACTTCTGCATTACTCACGTGGTGACACCACGGAATACGTCCTATATTACGAAGGCAACGGTGGTCAAACACCTGAAGCCTTTTTGTATCCTCCACTTTCAATGGCCATGTTTCACAACCATACAGTAGAACAGAGCGGACTGCTGTGCAGTACACGCGACCCTTAATAGACAAACGAATATCACGGCGGCGCCATAGGTGGCGCAAATTGGCAAAAGCCAATCGAGCCTTTTGTATCCGTGCAGAAATCTCATCGGCAACTAACCCACCGGGGTTGATCCTACTTCCCAGGTAAGTGAAGTGGTCAACACACTCAACCACTTCACTCTCTATTGTTAACCGCGGTACCACTGAAGACCAGTCCTGGAGCAAAAATTTGCATTTGGGTGGTGAAAATCGCATCCCAAACATTCTCAAATTCCCACTCAAAGTGTTCAGAAGACTCTGCATCTTGTCAGCGTCTTCACCCAAAAGGACTATGTCATCTGCATATTCTAGATCTAAGGAAAATTCACCTGTGATCGGTCAACGTCTTTGTAATTAGGTGACGAGAGGGAAACCTCCATAAGAATATCTATGATAAAATTAAATAAGAATGGGGATAGTGGGCATCCTTGACGGACACCACTTGATGAGTATAGCTCCCTGGACAACTCACCATAGGCTCTAACATGCCCACAAGTGTTCGAGTAGAGAGCTTTCAATAAGGTGATGTACTTACTAGGCACGCCTTTCAGTGACAGACACTGCCATAAGACTTCTCGATCAACGGAGTCAAATGCCGCCTTCAGGTCGAGAAATACAGCTATTGTCGGGCGTCTGTAAGCATGCCTATGTTCCAGGACCTGGCGCAGTGTGAATATTTGGTCGATACATCCACGGCCAGGTCTAAAGCCTGCCTGGTTTTCTCGGGCTTGCTGTTCCCGAGCTCCACTCAGGCGTCGGAGAATTATAGAACTTAGGATCTTAGACACTATGTTTGTCAGGCTGATTCCTCTGTGGTTATCACAAGAGGACTTCTCGCCTTTCTTGAAGACTGGGATGATCAGTGACTTAGACCAGTCGGAGGGGATCGTATTTGATTCCCATATACTGGCTAACACTTCCGTTAGCCTGACTAAGAGAACTCTACCACCATTCTTGTATACCTCAGCAGGTAGTCCGTCTGGTCCTGCTGCCCTTCCCCGTTTCAGGCTACCTACCGCTTTCTCAACTTCTTCTAGTGTTGGGGGACCTGTCTCTATGTCCCATTCAGGGTCCGACTGGATAGCGGGCAGCGCAATGGTGGCTGGAGGCCAGTTAAACTGTTCCTCAAAGTGTTCTGCCCATCGTCCCAGTCGCCTTCCCTGCGAGTGAATCGCCGATCCGTCCTTCTCCGCTATAACCTCACTAACTGTTGTTGACCATTTCCCCCCAGTCTCCTTAATAAGTCTAAATAACTGTCTACTGTTACCGATCGCCGCTGCCTTTTCCATCTCTTTAGCCTTTGCTGCCCACCACTGTTCACGATCGTTGCGCAGACTTTTCGTCAGTTTATTTTTAAGTTGCGCTCGCTCTTCATTGTACTCAGAGCCTGCAGGGATGCATTCACGTGCATCCATTAGTTTGGAAGAAGCTGCTGATATCCACTGGCTCTTTTTAGCCATTATCTTGGAGTCGGCTACAGTCTCCAGTGCTGCTTTTACAGTAGACTGCTCAACGCGTTCAGTTCATAAGACCCAGCATTTTGTCAGAGTCACCTAACAGAAAAATGTTGTCCGTGTACTCGTTGTCGACTAGATGACCTCCAGAGAGTAGATCAATTTCTGTGAAGTCAGACATATGTAAGGTTATGTCCATTAGTACATCGATAACGATATTAAACGTGAATGATGACAGCCGGCATCCCTTGTAAACACCACTCGTTGTCGTTAATTCACACGAGAACTCTCCATAATCCCTGATACGGCTACGTGAGTTCAAGTAGAGAGCTTTGATTAGCAGTGTAAACTTGCTCCTTCCACAGTAAGATACTGCCACGCTAACTCATGGTCGACAAAATCAAATCCCGCCTTCAGGTCAAGAAATGAGGTGAGTATCGGCCATCAGTAAGTATGTCTGTGTTTCATAACCTGAAGGGTAAAAATTTGGTCGAAAAACTCTCGTCTAGGTTTGAAACTTACCTGGTCTTCTCGAGCTACAGTTAAGCGTCGGATGACTATGAACCCTGGGATATTCGGCTTGATACAAGTTAAAATGGTTCCTCTAGGGTTATCACAAGGTCATCACAGTTGATTTCATTTAAAAAGTACTTCAAGATCGACTTGCACATCAGTCAGTCACTGGTTTAAACATACCTGAGAAATGCTTTCGAGGCATCAGCGGTCAAGAATGTAGTTTCTTCATTCTGTCTACCTTTAACAATCAAACCCCACTAAAAGAGAAAGTATTAGGTGGAAACAGTAGAGTTGTGACTCACTGGTTCAGAGAGTTAGCCATCAACTATTGGGTCAAGAGTTCGAACACTGCTTCACCCACCGAGGTTTTGGCGACTATGTAGTACCACTAGCCCTTACGTACTAGGTGTGGTTCATTACCAACTGCACGAATATGCACAAGGTAACTGAATGGACTTTGATTTTTCGAGGTAAAAACAAATTTGCATAAGACCAAGTGGGTTTACTTTTTCATTTAGTACAGGGGAAGAAAAAAGATCATGACTGCTCCTCACAAAATGAAGTTAACAACTCAAATTAACTTTTGCTCTTATTATCCTCTGCAGCAACTTACTTGGTCGATTGGAACTCTGGTAGCAGAGGAGATTTCAGCAAATGTTAGGGTACGTTTGTTAGCTGGTCGTCGAAATACCATCTCGACTAGGCACAACAGTGTAACTTTATCTTTCAACTTTGCTTCAGCAGCAACTAAATCCGCTTGAATACACCAACGGTTACGTAACTGGTCCAGCTGGTTTAAGTCTCCCCGATTGAATGCATGCAACAGATCGATTAGCCATGATTCCGAAGAATCACGCAGACTTTTTAAAATGTCATGAGTCAGCTGTAAAAAAATTACGGGAAAACAGTTGTAAATATACTACTTAAACAGTAGCAAAAAGTGAAAACAAATGGCGTATAAATTCAAAGTACTATGAATTTTGAAAACCAATTAGCGAAGGGAGTAACATATAGCCAAATGAAAAGTGAGAAATCCAGTTACGTTGTGACTATTTCCAACCTACGGACTTGGTAATGATGTTATTAGTGTATCCAGTCAGAGGAATACACATTTCTCTAGGCGTTTCTTCCAAAGGTATCAAATCAATTTAATTTTCAACGTAAAAATAAAAGCGAATACCAGCCAGTCATAAAGCGAAATCTTTACATTTGGTAGATACAAAACAAACGAAAAAAACTTGTCTTTGTTCAAGATGGTAATAAGACTGTTTAGGTAACAGGATTGTTAGAGCTATTGAAGATAATAGGATCTTGTTTGGACGAGAGATCAGCCTTGTGAGAAATCATGGGAAGGTGTTACTTTTTTCAGCAAATTTGTGTCATAGTTCGCATAAGCTTACAGAATCGAATAAGTTCACGCATAGAACCTACAAGTAATATGATATCTATGTTTTGCTACACCTTGAGCGATAAACGAAGAACACTTCTAAGTAACTTAGTCAGTCGGATTGAACACTGTATGCTTGATTGTACCTGACATCCTCAAGTCTGTCATCCTTCATTTTTCAGAAAACTGGTTAATTATTCAACAAATTTAGAAAAAAGTGTGATCTCTCTAAAGTCCTTAAAAGTGATCTGCTCTTTATGTTAAGTTGGAATGATTAACATCGATTTTATGGGGTTACATATGATTTTGTTAATCTTCACAAATTATTCAATTCTCTTTCGAAAAGAGCAGATTATTTTTGAAGAAATGAACAATTGAGATATAAGCATTTAATAAAGGCATTTAGCAATCAAAATAAATGAATGCTCTACAAAGAACGCAGAAACTTACCAGTTCACCAAAATTGTACACACCTTCCCCGAGAATAGCTGCTAAACCAACAGAAAATGCCCAACCTCTTTGTTCTTCCATAGTTAAACTATCCAAGTCAACACAACCAAGAAAACGAAGTGCTTCTTGATAGAATTGAGCATGTTGTCCAGTGACCTGATAGTGACATTGAAAGATAAATGAATATTTCGAAGTGAATATATTATTGTGATTAAAAGGCCAAATGCTATGAATTGGAGTATGGTTCATAAAAAAACGTCTACAGAAAGATGCTGTACATTTTTGGATCAGTCAACACAAATCGACGTAGAAATGCATTGGTTCAAATCCCCACACTTCATAGTAGTACGCGAAGATAAGAAAACGATGACAACAAAATAGAGCAAAGTGTATGTGATGATCGAGAATAAACAAGTGAAGTTTAGTATACATGTATGAAATTCCGAAGATGAAAAACAGTGTGTAAATATGTGCCACTGTAACCAAGTTTGCTTCATGTCGCCGAGTTTTTATTTACATGATCTCAAAGAGCCTAATGAAGCAGCTTACACCTTACGCATCTGACAAAATAAAAGTGATCACTGATAGCAACCACAAGTGAACGTAAAATACGATGTTTTAAACTAAAAAGTGACAGAAAAGCATCAAAGAATGTCCAGAAGTATTCACCCTTATTTTCAAGCTTGGCTGAAAAAGTGTATTTTTTAATACCATATTTCTCCAGAAAAAACTGTCACTAACTAAAAAAAATACTTAAGTTCACCTTGATATTAAAAAATCGAATTACTTGATAATATCTTGAGCTGAGTTGATAAAATCGGGAATGGACTGTTGTTACACCTTCAATTTCATCCAACTGAGTTTGTGTAGTTTCAATAATTTGTCGAGCGTTTGGCAAGTCGATAAGTGCTGTTAAATAAATCATTCCAATGGTGGTATTAAATAATATCTTGGCCTCTTTCGATTTGGTAGTAAACTGAAAAAACAACGGGAAAAACTGCAACTGTAAGGTGAGTAAATTGCATCCTTACTCACGAAATGAGCAGCATATATATGAAAATAAGTAACCAGTGCATGTGTATATATTCTAGGTCATAAGTCACATTTATATTTTGAAGGTCGACGACAGCAACTGGTTGCCCAAAACTCAGGAGGTGGAGTGGAATTTAGATGTACGATCGATTGGTTGAAAGTCAAGTACTGAGTCCGGTGAGGCAGCTGTCTGACATGAATAATGGATTATCTGTGATAACATACAGAGCAGCACAGACATTGTCAATATAGGACCTATGATGACCGTTTAATCATTAAAGTTGCAGCGTCACATTAAATTAAAGTGGAGAGCAGCAAGACGGAAATAATGTAACCGTAGAAATAAAGCCTTTGGGTAGGGCATTATTCCTTATTAGGGCTATATGTCTCATTTGGCACACTTTGATACTTCATTACTCACCGATTGGCGTTTCTGAGACAGTTTACATAACAGTAGTCACCTGATTGGTGGGACTTAATTTATGCATGCGCATGGCTTCTTCATTCTTTGATCCTAGTGGTAGTAAAGTTTTCTATAAATGTCCAGCTCATTAAAGTAAGAATAGAAATTCGACACTGTGCTGGTAGCGTATAGTTCCATGTTAATTCGTTTGCTGGATACTTCAAGTAAAGGGATGTTTCGAACGCAATTTATAGTTTACAGTCACACCATAGACAACTTTCATGTCTTTTTCTCATAGTTGTTTTTCTTTCCCTTTATTTTCTGCATCGGTAGTAGAATTTTCAGATATATGCAACAGATGTTGAGTCATTCCTAATGCGTGCGTTAGATGTTAATCCGACTAACCGAACCAAACGTAACATTACCCTGTTTAATTTCTAAACTCTAAAAGCCCCGACTAAATCTCTTTCGGTTGAGAGCAATCGACGCGCACCACACTATGGAAAGTTTATGAGCTTACAGAATACATTGCAAGCTTGATCCACTAAATTTGATCGGCATTCAGGACTCCACAAAATGGTATTTATTACTTTCAAGTAACCGGTTAATTTACTTGAGAAACAAATCCATAATAAATGGACAAGTGGTAACACTTGGTAGCAGATAGAACCTAAGAAGCATCGTCCTATAAGAGAAAGCAACTGAAGAAACGGACTGAGACTAGTTTATTTATTACATTCATAAGTGCAACCTATAACGAAGGAAACGTGATGAAAACTCATGCGCGGAAGTGGAGCGTCGCTACAGCACAGTAACCAGATTAAATGAAACCATTTTGATATTTCGAAAGTTTTGTACTTAGTTTATTAAGGAGGGAAAGTAATTGGCTTTTATTGAATAACCCTTCGTATATGATAAACATTTTGTATGTGAGTTGCATCTACAGTTTGACCGGCTGCCCGGGAACTGATTCAAAACTTCATAGTATTGGTCAAAGGACTAGTGTTCGGATTACCGATTCATTTCTTTGATAACACATCAATGAAGTTCCATGAATTAGACGTTATCACTTGCAAATAAACATAAAGAGAGAATTTATCACGAAATCCAAAATATCACTCATCGACCGTGCAAAACAACAATTAGAAATGGTCAACTACCTCATCACGCACTTCTTCTAGAAACTTAATGCCCCGCTGAGGATCTGAAAAGCATGAAAGTGAGTACATTCACATAAAGTGATCAATACTACATACCAGTAATTACATACTGTTCACTAATAGGAACGCATAATTCAGCTAAAGAAAGAGGATTGATCCTAATGTAGGGAAAGTTGAGTTAGTGGTAATGAAGAAATTAAAAACTTACTTGTACATAAAATCAGCTAGGAAATTGTTACTCAGCTACAGTGAGATTCGCATAATTTGCAGAAGTAATTAAATTACCTGGACTAAATCTGTTTTTGACCGAAATTCAGGATTTTTCAGTAAGCTTTCAAGTTTTAGTGTTAGTTGATGCCACAATCTAAATTTTGAAGCATTGCAAAAAACATTTAAGTATGAATATACAGTCCAGCTTAAAATCAACTTCCGCAGATGTGCATGAGAAAAGACAACCATTATCATTCGTATATGTAACGTTTAGGCAAAATATCGCTCTTGAAACATTAGGTCATGCAGTATGAGGACACAAATTGAGTACCAGCATAGTGTAACTCAACTAGAATTTGTTACAGTATGGATCATAGTGAAGTAGCATCACTAACTGCATCACTTTTCAGACAATTTGTTCGACTACTGTTCTACGGCATACGAAGAGAAAAAAAGCATGAATAAAGAGTATGAAGTAACTTCGACAAATTGCACCTGAGACGTCTACAAATAATTTTGCTACATTGTAACTATAGGTCTGACAAATAGACTAAAACGGAAACATCTGATTTACCCTTATTATTTATTCATGAAGACCAAAAACTTAACACAAGATGGGAACCAAGTGGTGAGCCTACAAAATAATGTAACAATACTACGATCCAAAGAATGGAAGAAAGGAAACAAAATCAGAAATAGGTTAGAAGAACTGTCTTAAACATGCACGAAAATAAGTACTCACTACTTTCGCCTTACTTCTCGACCACAGAAGATGCGAAGTATAGCCACTAAAGGTAGAGGACGTCAGAAGACCATCGTTGTCTTCCCAGTATGGACGATGTGCTATGGTGTCACCACATTTGTGCACAATTCGGAGTTAGGGGTTTTGACAGGAGAGGAAAGTCACCTTATGAGGTTGTGAGTCTTTATCAACTGATGTAGCCGCGGCATGCATGACACACATACCGTTTGCCGCGTCACGCAATATTGGCTGAAGTAAATATAGGCCAGATAAGGACTAGAGGCGGGCAGAATAAAACAGGCCATCAATGCGGGAAGTCTTTGACCATTGATCAGAGCCGCGTAAGAAAGTGGAGACTACCTAGTTGGCGTCCGCGTGACAAAGGAAATCAATGATGAAATGATTCAGGACAGATCTCAAAGGTGTAGATGCAACCAAACATTATCTTCATACCAAACGTCAGGCCAAATCCTATTGCTTTCACTCTCTTTTGTTCGATCGTAACGACTTCCTGCCGCTTTTGTGTACTTCCGTATTTCTTCATTTTTCATCCAGATGCATTCTCCTTTGATGTGCTGATTTGAGTGAGCCAACTTAGACCGTTACGCAGCAGTTCCACCTCTTTACAGTGTTAAATCTTGGTTTGAAATACAGAAAACGTGCAACAAGGAAAAATCACGGTTTTACAAATAAACCAAGAGTGAGCACCTTTCGGGAGTTAGCAGCGAATATGGGTTTATAACACTAGGTTAATTCTTAGAGTCAACTACAAATACTTCGACAAAAGGTTGAGGTTTGTGGAAGTCAGTTCACCGTTAGTCGACTGGCTATTATATTTAGGTGCTGATCTCTTTAAGATCTGTGCGAATCCTGCCATACCCCAAAAAAACAAAATGTCTTAGTGGAGCTACCCAGGATTCATTTTTACGAACTCTTCTGTTCCTCATTTAGATAAATGATTTTCCTCCACAGGTGTCCTTTGAAATCTTCCTCCCTACTGACGATGTATGCAGTGGAAAGAAATAAAAGAAAAAAGCGACAAGCTGACTGCAAAATTTGACCCCACTTTAGCTCCGGGCAGATCACAATGTACGTTCCATCCTGAAGAAAGTGAAGTGATATATATATATGTATATATATATACAGATATATAGCATAGTGCATACCCTACAATCAGACTAAACGGCCTGTACTTAAGATAGTCCCTTCAGTAAAGCATCACACTTGAGTGTACGACCCCACAACTGAAATTTTCTGCTGAACTTACTTTTTTGTGTGAAAGTCTGATACCTGTGTCCAGTCATCTTGGAATGGTCCTGTTTCGCTGACTTTTGCATTCAAATAATCCCTTAGGGTTGTGGACGAAACTGCCCACTCAAACTTCATTTTACTAAGATAAAGTAACGTTGCTCTTGAAAGTCGCGCGTTCCGACGACAAATATTGGAACATGCGCGTAGAAAACTGAAAACCTTAATCTCCCGCGTCTATTTCTTAAAGCCTAATTAATGGTTTTAGGTTTTTTCCGGCAATGGGGAGTGAAATATTTTTCATTTTTTTTCTTTTAACCAGTGAGGTGTATCCAATATCTGTTTAACGAGCTTGTGTAAACCAGTTGATTTCTTCTTGTTAGCTTCTCGGTGCGCCTTTGTAGTTTAGTAATTGGAGTTTTTAGATTGTTAAGGAAGCTATGGTCATTTGGAAATTTAGGCATCCTTTCGCGACTCCTGCCTTTATGTGTGCCTAAGTAGGGATAGTAAGATGGTGGGAAAACGTATGTGGGAACTACATGATAGGTAAAAGTAGATAGTATGGTTCTGGTTGCTGGAGAAGAGTTATCAGATGATGTAAGCGTATCAACAGGAGAGATGGCGGTGGTAAGCAGGAAGGAAGTGATTTGGGCCACTGGAGTCGGTAACTTTTGAGTATGTCTATGGCAAGTCAAGCGAGATGATGTAACTATTCAAACGTCTTTTGCATGAGTCATTCGAGGCAGATGCGACTACGTCCCGCTGTCAGGCGTTCAATAAAGCACATATTCTTAGGAAAAACGTTAGACCTGAGTCTGGTGTTAGCTCATTGATACGCCGCTCTACTAAAGTTCCATTGTGATGATAGCCGTGTTGCAGGCAGTTTAGTTTTATCGCCTGACTCGCATGACGGATTATCTTGTAAGCCATAGGAAGGTCACCTCTCTTTCTGCAACGTCCCAAAATATGTTTCAGTCTTTTAGAGCATGCCTCCCCCCCTGCAGTCCCAAAACCGACCTTTTGCAGACCCTTGTATTTTCTCAGGAAATTCGGAGTCCCTCTTGAGTGTTTGGGTGCTACCGTATGAATACCTGCGGGCGCGACCGTGAGTATGGTATGTAAACCGTGGCCAAAAGTTCGAGAGTGAGAGCACGTGGCTGTCTTCACAGATAGCGTGGGGTAGTGTTCGCTACGGCGGCCAATTTCTCGTAGTTGGAGCTGGTGTTTAGGGTGTCCGATAATTTGCATCCTGAATCTCCTCACTGCATACTTTGATGGTAGCACGGTGGATCAACCTGCATTGGAATTCAATCGTCCTTGCTTCGTGGGTACCGGTTACATTTAAATGTATGCCAGAAATCAAGCCGGGGATATTCTAACGCAACTGCAAATGATTCATCAACACAGAAGCCTAAGGTATGACGAATTTCGGTAGTGATGATGGAATTCATAGCCTTAAGAGATTGCTAAACTGAAAGTACATGCACAAGCATCCATGTAATTAACCATGATGTTGCATTTGGTTGCACCGCCCCTTCGTGTACCCTGGTAAGCTAGCCCACGGATCTCGTTAACCTGGGACAGTTTGTCAAGCAAATGATCCAGACTTGTCTACAAGTTTGTATTCTTCCCCGGTTCCCTTTATATGAGGGAGGGAAGAGCAGGGAGAAATGATGGTTGGCATCTATGTCTGTCCCCATTACATGTGGTAGCTCTTCCTCAGATTGACTGTCCCGCTTTTACACTCGTGCGCAGATTTTTCACGCTGACGATTTTTAGATATCTGCGACGTAAATCCCCAGATCCATAGGTGGCCAGACGCTCGAGCTTCTGTGTGATAAAGCCTCAACATACTGAATTACAGTTCATACATCATAGCTGACTTTACCGAATAGGGCGTCATAGATAGCCTTTCTCAATGCCTTGTTGATGTGCGATCAATGCCTCAGGAATCAAGTGGCACGTCACTGCAAATGGGATCAGTGATAATGTAGGTAACCCATACACGCTGCCACAAAAATCGCTTCAAAGTACTCTCAAGTATTGGCAGTACCCACACCAGTAACCTCCAAAAACTGAACTAAGGAACAGTTTGGCTACCTACTTGCCTGCACGAGTGAGAAAAGTAGGTGACCCTTGAGTGTTCAGTGGCAGTCCTTTCTCTGAGGTGTTTCTCTCAAAGCTGCTACAGTCAGTGCCTGTCGTACTTGGAGCACTCCAGACAGGTGCGACTGGCAACTCAGAGGCTTCGACCGCCAAAATATCAGAGGTATCTTCCAGACTTGTCCTAAATGCGTACTCAGAAAAGTAAAACCCTCAGTTTCGGTTTTGGGATGAGGGGCCCCCACAATTCAAGTAAAAAGCTTTCGAAATCTCGAAGTACTGGGTCTTGACAAAAATATAATCGCTCCCCCCTTTCATATCCACCGTCGGAGTTCTTAGGACCTGCTGATCACAAAGCCTTGAAGTGTTGAAAACCTTGAGTGGTGTTGGTTTTGCAACAGTTGTCGGCAAGGTGTCTAAAATGGCCAGTAAACTTGCACTACAAGTAAATTTTCTAACGATGGGCCTTGAAATGGTACAAAATAAAGCTTTTCATCAAAAATACACTTAGAGTGCATTAATTCATCCCACAATGCACAAACTTTTGGTCTATAACTTGATTAACTCTCAGTTTAACAAAATAGAGCACGACGTTTGCACACTGTTCACCGGCATGTATTGATAGCAAAAGTCGCTACTGGAGGTAGCCGTTTGTCATGAGTTACGGACACGGAATCGAAAGTTTGCTGGTGCAAGAATTATCATCTTTCCGGCACTCGAGACTGATTATCGTTAATATCCTCCATTTTATTTACAAGCGGCTAACTGTCAGGCCACCCCGACCTCTGAAAAGAAGCGTGTCTATCTTCTGTTAGGTCTTTCGCATTTTAGCTGGGTGATCCCTAAAGATACAGAGGTCAACCACTAAGTCCTCTTACCTATGAAATATCCACGACTGCAGGACTAATAAAGCACAAAACAACGTAACCAGGTAGGAACTGTATCTTTGATGATTGTGCCAAAACATCAGGGAGTCAGGTGGGAACAGCGCAACGTAACATGGCAACTAGGCAAACTTTATGAATGCTTGGCTGTGTGCCTTCGTTTTAACTGGTTCAATAAAATTGTGAAGGTCAGAATCAGTGTCGAATCTTGCCGAACCCTAAGCTCGTGATCTGAAGATCTACTTGCCACTGCAGCATTCCCTCTTTAGGGGTTTCCTGAGGGTCGGAGGGCCAAACTAGAAGGAAGTAAAAACCATATAGCCTCGTCATTAGCACAGCTCTCTGGACTACCTCATTCCAACGAGTGGCCTTCGGTTGTCTGAAATTATTCTTGGATGTCGCTGCAAACGACAATACGGCAGGAGTAGTGGCCCGATTGTCACCCCCTCGGCTTTTTGACCTCCACCCTCAGTACCCGTTGCACTTTGAATGTAGAAAAAAACTTGTGGTATCACGCCAAAGTTTTGCGAAAATGAAAATCAAAACACAGGTACGTTACGTGTATAAAGGCACCGGTGGAAAGAGTTGAAACAGGTTTATGAAAAGCGTGAGAACCTGTACGAAAGAAATATATCATTCTAGTGAAGACGGCCGAAGAGCTGCCTTCTTAGTAAAGACGTTACTATTGTTAAGACAGAAGAAATCACGTGTTTACGCATGCTTGTTGGGTGAGTACGTCCTTCGGTTTTCTGGCAATCTGGCTGTTCGACCTAGTTGTGTTTTTCCGATTGTGGGAGACAGTCATCCGCATTTGTTCTCAGGTGGATCGCATGACGTTCAACAGTCGAATCTTCCGCAGATTTACTGCCATGAGAAGAAGCGTTGCTCACGGCGGGGTTACCTATGGAATAGGCAGGATTAAAACGGTCAGTAATGACCACGTCTTCACATCCGTTTTGCTCGACCACATGAAAATTTTTGTGGGTGGTACCCAACAGAACGGTTCAGGCAGTCCATGAATGGCATAGTGGCTTACGAGATGCGTAGTGCATTTTACAAAACGAAGTCAATGAAAATGTCAGTCGTACGATTTCAAACAGAAGACAGCTTTAACTGAACGCATTGTACCGAAATCACCTGATAGTCAAAGAGAAGTCCAGCAGAAAGGCTCTGCGGAACTGTATCCAGCCGGTTCCAGATACCCAATAAAATTATGGGCGCTGCTTCGGTTCACCGGAGCTGATTCATCCCGAATGGGAGGCATTCGTTGAGCTCCTCAGATGCAGTTCATGAGATGAGTACTTCAAAATAGCCTCAGTAACAGAGTCAACTTCGTTTTTCTATGGAGATATAATGGTATGTTTGGATGTCGTTGCTGCTGTGAGAGCAGTTGGGGTGAAAAAGAATGAGGACCCATACATCCCTGAAATACTTTGTAACAAACTGAGGAAATAATTTATGCTGTATCACTCTTCTAAAGACTGTGATGTTGCACTCAATATACGGTACTTGTCAAGCAATTAACATTATATGTGCACGAGACTCAACTGACGAAGAGCTCAATGCCCCCAAAAGTGGCTCTTGGATACATAGTTTGGCCCCTCCTTTGAATAAACGTTTGCAGTCAGCAGGAGATATAGCTTATTTATTACACAGTGGGATGGTCTGCAACGACCCCCTCGAAAGTTGTGAACTATTAAGCGAACCGCTCACAAACTTCAGTCCTAGCACACTTGCCACCACCATTTTCACTCTGCTTACTACAGGTTCATGGGCCAACGGGAAATTTGCTGTCAAAATATCACAGAGGTCAACAAATTTCAAACTTCGTGCTGTAGAATTGGTGGACTGCGGTTCCTTGGGTTCTACATTTGTCTTTTTGGAATGCATTCTGGTCTGTGAATGGTCACAATTATCTTCCCGGTTCCGAAAAACCTGAATGGATAGAGATAAACAATTATCAAGTAACCTGGTCTCAAGGAAATATTTTTGCAGCTGATCTGCAGATGACGAAAAGCCTGTTTAGTACAGCCTGTCGGAACATTGGGACTCAAGGTGTGAGTTTAACCTCCTATTAAGAGTATCAAGGGATGGGGCTGTAACAACTGCTGAAAGAAAGGCAGTTCCAAAGTCTACAGACTCCAACCACAAATGAGTTAGCATGGGTCTTCGTACATGCTCTCCCATGCCCTATTCTTAAC